TTTTATCAGGAGATAACTTTAGAACACCTGCAATACATGATCCACCATCCAAATTGAAATTTCTTATTTATGAGGATTTTTCACTAATAGATGAACTTTATCTTTCTAAACCCACCCTTGGTGTATTATTTTTAAATAAAAAAATAAAGATTTATTGCACAAGAGCTGTTTATAAACAAATTTTATTAAAGTACGAGGAATATAAAAATATGATTGTTAGTTATGATTTTATAGAAAAAAATAAGTGTACTTATAAAACACTAGATGATGCCAATATTGATTTGTTTGAGAAATGTGTTGTGATTATTTCTTTTAATCAAAGAATTTATAACAATAACATTATGTTTGAGTCTATACCTGCGGGTACTAATTTAGGTTGGTGTAATTACTTAATTCATTTACCGGATAACAAAAGTATATTTTATGTTGGATCTTTTAAAAACGGTAATAGATTTGCAAAACCAGGTAATTTTGTTAAATCTAATTATTTTATACTTAACACTCATTATTATGATGATATTAGACACTATCAGAATATAGAATCGTTTAATCTTATAATATCAAACCATAAATCTTCTAAATGTGTTATTGTTATACCAATTGATTTTACAAGATCATTTGTTGATATAATTTTTCACATACTTTACCTGGTAGAAAAGAAATTAGTACCTATTTATATCTATTCAAAGATATTCAATAGTCTTGAATTAAATCTTAACATTCAGGGTGAATTAGTAAGTCCTACCATGTTGGAAAATGCAAATACAATGAAGGATGATGTATTTTGTGTAAAAAAGTATAAATATTTAGAGTTAATTGATGATTTGAGTTGTTTAGATAACAATCAGCCTAAAATTGTTTTTGTTAACGAATTAACTCAAATAGAACCAAATGATTACTTAAGAGTATTTAAAGTAGAAAAGACTAAAAATTTTGTTACGTATAAAAATTGTGAATATTTTGATTTAAATTTAGAAGAACATAATTTTGATGATTTAGTTGATAAAGAAAAGTTATTATTTAGTGATAGTGATACTGTTTTTATTGAGTATGAAAATAATATTGATTTGCTAATACAGCCTCATTTAATTTGCAATGATCTTGAATTGTATATAAACGGGAAGTTGAGTTACACTGATAAAAACTCTAAAAATGTTGTTGTTGGTGAAATAGAGTTAACAGATCATTTTATACAGAAATTATTTTTAGATGAAAATCCAATCATTTTAAATAATAACACTTATGTATTCACTAAAAATAAAATTAAACTGACTATAATCGACCATTCTAAACACAAAATAGAGTATTTATAAATTTATTGATTATATTTCTTATATATTTCTTCTTTTAATTCATTAAGTTTATCTTTTGCTTCTTTAATATTATTTAAGTAAACTTCTTTATTAGAATTTAAAAGTTCTAATGTTTCTGAAAACTCTTCTAAGCTAACTTTTATCTTTTCTGTCATTTGTTTATTTAGCAGTTTTTTTTAAATTTTCTTAGAAAAATTTTAAAGTCAGATTTCTTTCTGAGAAAATTTTTAAATATAAATTTCTGCAAAAATTAAAACCCATAAATGTCTACAGATAACGCAGAACAGACAAGTAAGTTTAATAGTGAAATGATTAAGAATATGCAGTTTAATACAGCTGAGAAGGGTGATAAGAAAGCCTATACTGTGAATGACAAGTCATTGTTTGAAATGTTAAGTAAGAATACCTACAAAGACAAGGACGTTTTCCTTAGAGAAATTATTAGTAATGCATCAGATGCTATTCAGAAATTGGTTGCTTCTAAGACAAAGTTAGATGATGAAGGTTATGAAACTGAGATGTACGGTAACTTACAGATTGATCTCTACATTGATAAAGTTAATAACAGATTGATTGTTAGAGACAATGGTATTGGTATGACTAGAGAAAATTTGATTAATTACTTAGGAAGAATTGCACAGTCAGGTACTGCTGAATTTAAGAAAGAAAATGAAAAGAAGTCAGTTAATGATGATTTGATTGGTAACTTTGGAGTAGGTTTTTATTCAATGTTTATGATTGCAGATAGGATTGATTTAATAACTAAGAATCCAAGAGATAAGGCTTATATATGGTCATCAAATAATGAAACAGGTTTTAATATTATGGAATATGATGGAGAGTTTCAAAAACACGGTACTGTAATTTACATGAGTGTAAAGGAATCTGAACTTGAGTATCTTGAAGAATCAAAGATTAGTGAAATTGTAAAAAAGAACTCATCTTGTATTAATTATCCAATTGTTATTAACACTGAGAAACAAGAGAAGAAAGAAGAAGATAAAGATAAAGAAGTAGAAGAAATTGAGGAAGATAACAAAGAAAAGATTGTAAAAGAGTCTAAGATATTGAATGAAGGAGGAAGTATATGGTCTAAGAAATTTAAGAGT